TTAAAATAAAATACCTTCATTAGCTAGGCAACACCATAATCCAATATTGTTACCTCTATTTCATTGCAAGTCTATTTATGTTTCCAAAACATTGACATTATCAAATGAATTTAATTATACTCCTAATCTCGATGCAGACATTACAATTTCATTTTCAGAAATTGTTTGTTCCTCTTCTAAAGCTGTCAAATACAAAGAAGTTGATGTGGCTACTTTTTTGTGTTCCACTTTAGTAAAAAATGGGTCAAGTTTATAAATTTGGCTTCTTGGTCCTTCTTAACTTTTCTTTTATGTTATTAAACGCCGCTTTCATCAACTCTCTTCATTATACTAAAAAAATACAAACTAAAAAAAAAATTATGTTCAATTAAAAAAAAATTGTTAATGTGATCTCCTTGATTAGTTCCCCTAATTAAGAAAAGACTTCAGCAATACTAATTTATTTTTTTTGAAAATTTAAAGTTATCGTGTCATAAGAAGTTGGAAATTAAAGTTTTTTTTCAAAGTATGATAATTATTTTAAATAACAAAAGAAAAAATCAAATTATATAAAAAAACAACCTCATCCTCTTAAATGTTTCATAAAAACATAGTAACTAGAGTATGGGTTAATACAATATATTTTTAAAGTGAAGCACGTGCTTTGAGGCATTCTCACACTCTACATTTGACATTAATATAAAATTTTCATTTAAATTCCATTAGGGTAAATAAAACTAGCACTTGTTACTAGGCAATTTTACAAAATAGTTTGAACTAAATTACTTAACATTATAATGTTGTTTCTATCAATCAAATTTAGGCACTTCATGTTGATTTTCTTTGATTTTTTTTTTCCTTTTTATTTTTATTAAATTTTTATTTATATTAAGATTTAAAAAAATTAAAATTTGAAATAACTTTCTAATTGAAAACATTGTCAGTGTAATAATAATAAAAAAAAAAATTCTTATAATGTAAGTTGTTAAAGTCACATTTACATAAATCAAATTTATAAATTTTTGGGATTGTAAAGATTGTGGGGCCCTAACCTGCAGCTTAGTTAGCCTATAGGTAAATCTGGCCATGTTCCCTAAGTGTAATGTTTCCATTAACCTTTCTTCACTAAAATTTTAAAAAACTAAAACTTATTTCTTGTTTTTAATTTTATTTTTTTTACTTCCTTATTATTATTTATTTATTACACTTCCAAACAACTGTGTGTATAATAACAAAAACCCAAAAGTGTTTATGTTATTATACACACCAGGTGCATTGTATGATGCAATAGAGCTTAAGGTTGTAGAATCAGAATAGTTTGACATATAAATAAGTTTGATGAAAAAATTTAATTTCAAGGAAAGAAAATCAAAGGTATAACTTCTATTTTAGAGAATTTAATTAAGTTGGGTGATCAAAGAATATCCAATAGCTAGGTAATTGGTGATTAAAGAATGTCAGCAAAGCTATGCCATAGATGACATCAAAGTTTTGCTAGTTAAAAATCATGTCAAACAGCTAAAAGATTACTTTGAATAATATTATCAGAGATTTTATTCAATAGACAAGTTAGATAAGCTATTTGATTGCAACTGTGGCTCCTTATAAACTGCTAAAAAAATTGAGAACTAATTTCATATGACATATTGATATATATGACATACACATTTTAAATAAAAAAGTGAATAATGTTTTACTATCTTAAATAAGTTTTGATTTAAATGTTATTAGTCAATTTATTTTAAAACATTTTTAGACAATTTAAGTTTGCAGTTACACATAAAAAACAACTATAATCAATTATGCATAAAAACCAATATCTCTTTGTGAAATTCAACTTAATTTATATAAATACAATTATTCACAACCAATTATATTGCTACTTCAATTAGTTTGCTAACAACTTCACTTCTATTGCAAATGACTTCCTATACAAACATTAACTTTGTTTTTTACACTCCCACTTGGTCGTCAGGATAACTTCAGCTTACAGACTATAACATTCAAGTGCCTTTCTTTTTCGCATACTCATTCGCAACATTAGTGTCTTGTTTGTATCGTCTTCTACTGTTTGCTCCAAGATAATCCCGATAATTGTTCCAACCTTAAATTAAGAACTGCATCTGGTATCAGAAGTCTACACCCAAACCTTTATTTCAAGTTTAAATTTGTTAGCTATCTTCTTATAACAATGTTGTAAATCCTTATCGTCGTCAACTCCTCTCACTCTCATTTCATATTGGTATAATTTGTTTCCAGGTGCAGTAGAAAAATTACAATTATCTTTTGGACTGACGTTGCACCAATAAACTGCCTTGAGTATGCTGGACGGAGTTCTTTTTACTGTTCTTTTGACAGTTCAATGTCAAAAGAATAATAAGATAAACAAATTGATATTTAGGGTAATATCGATATTTTCTATCAAACATAATTAAGTGACATAAACTAATTCCAACAAAGTTTGAAGAGATAAAATTTAGGATAAAGATTTGTCAAAAGTAATAATAAAAGATCTTGAAAACTAATTCTGACTAGTCAATTTTGGCCCACACAAATTTCAAAAATAGAAAACTAGAACCTTAAAACTTAAAATCATGTTTTTATGTTAAAAATAAACAAAACATGACTTGGGATAATTTGTTGCTATGCTTAAACTAAAAAATAAGTTTTTTATGTCCATGACCTATATATATTTATTTACTAATAAAAAAAAGTCAACTTGAAAATGCAACCAAAAAAAACAACATATTGACAGTTTTATAAAAACTTAAAAATTATTTTTATTTTTAATAAAAATGTTTTGATAAAATATATAATTGCTAAAATATACCATTTATAAAAAATATGGTATTGCCAAGAATGTTGTCTGTCTACTTGCATCTTGGTACAAGAATCAAACTATGTTTGTCAAATGGCAGAAAGTAAACTCTGATAGCTTTAACATAAGCAATGGTGTACAACAAGGTGGAATTCTTTCACTGTTCTAGTTCATATTTTTTATAAGAAAACTGATTTTCAATATTACAAATATGCATGTTGGATGTAACTTAGGTGGAATTTTTTTGAATCTTTTGACATACGCCGACAATATTGTACTAATTAATCCGCCTTGGTTTGCATTTAAAAGATTATTAACTGCATTAAATATTGAAGCCACTGTCATTAACATGTCATTCAATACAAAAAAAAACAGTGTTTATGGTAATTAACTCAAAATAGAGATGTAAGATTGTTAGGGTTTCTGAAAAACAGTGGTTTTTAAAAAACAGCTGTTTTACTGTTTTATAATTTTCAAAAACAGCTGTTAACAGCTGTTTTACTGTTTTTATAACTCACACCCACCCCTCTTAATTACCCCCACCAACCCTCCTTGTAACAAGCAGGCAACAGTAAAACTCTTTCTGATAATATATATCCTAACATAAACTTTACATTTTATAATAGTATTTCAAAAATACAAGAGCTGATAATGACTTACCTGAAAGTGATTTTATTTTTGTACAAAAGTTGGCACAAACAGAGAATACTCTTTCAACATCCGTAGATGTGGGCTTAATTGTAGTACCGCGCTCAACTCGTTTCTCTGCGCAGCGGCCTTGTTCATCAAGGTTTGTGTTTCGGAGTTATAGAGTTGAGAGAGGGTTATAGCCACAAATAAGTAGCCTCCTTGTCTGTAGTGGCCTTCTTGGCCTTGAGGAGGTGAATTAAAAAAAAAAAAAAAAAATTGTTAATAATGCATTGCATCATAAAGCTTTTGTAAGTTTTCTGTACACTGGCCTGTATTCTTAAAAAGAGTAAATTCAGCTTTAACCACCTGAAATTGTCCTGTCCAGAAGGCACTATTGGTGATTCATTTTTCTTCAGCAACACATTCAGTTCCTTTTGTAGAGTTAAAATTTTATCTGATGGATTACTGGAAGTTGTTTCAATAATATTAACGTCATGAACACCAAAAAGTCGAGATGCCAACATTCCTGCAAAAGTTATCGTATCTCTGGATAGGGTTATTGTAGAGTTCTTTAGACAGCGTAATAAATTCATGACATCTGTATTCAGGCGCTCATCAACTCTAACTCTCAGATTATCCATCAATTTTTTGCTAATTTCACTGTTAACTAAAGAAAGTTTCTCAAACATAAATTCTAGAATTGTGTCAGCGCTCAACAGAGTTGCATCTTCTCTACTAAGATTCTCTATAGCAAGTTTAATGGGTTTCATTGCCTCTAGTAAACCTTTTAAGGCATCGAAGTCTACATTGTTGGCTAAACTTATATCTGCCTTAAATTCTAATAAAGTTCCTCGAATTGCTGTCTCTGTCTTTATCAATGGCTCCAGCATTATTGGTATTGTGTTCCAACAAGTTTTTACATCAAGATGAAGTTTGATTTCTTTTCCAAGTAAAGCCTTGACTTTTGATTGAAAAACTTGATTTCAAACACTTGACAGTTTGATGAATTTTATCAGTTTGCGTGAGTTCTTAAGTAAATTATTGTAGTCAATACAATCTTCGCAATCATCATTTATAAATTCAAAATTGGTGCCTTCGTCAAAAGAATTATTTTCATTGTTATCGTCATCACAGGGGTCGCTTAAATCTTCAATATCATATTTTTTCGTATAAAGTGTGTCACATACACCAAGATGTTTACCATGATTAAGACAAAATTGACCAATAACATCTAAATTTTGAATATACTTCTTGTTTACAGATGCTCCATCCTGAGTAGATGCAACCAAATCTTTTTCCATCCATATTCCAAACACATTTAGATATCAAGTCCACTGTATGAACCCAAAATTCAAATTAATCCTGTTTTATACGTGATATCGTCAGTTTTATCATGAATATTAACTCCAAAATATCTCGTCCTCTTAAAGTAGTAACCTCATCAACAGTCATGCTAAACTTCACTTTATTGGCTACTTTTAATTTTATGGTGTCAATCTTTTTTTTTGCTTTTTATCAAAATCTTTGTGCAAAAGTTTTATTACATCACTTTCGTTAGCGGGGAGTTTAAATCCATCACGAGCTATTGACTGGCGAATGTATTTATTTCTGGTTATAGCTTAAACTGAAATGCCATCCGTAGCCAAATCAGAAACAATATTTTGAAGCTTCTTTTGAGCAAAGAAGTTGCCAACAGTTTTTTGTCTCTTCTCACTTGCTTTCTCATCTCTTAGTATGATTGATTCTGTTGCCTTATCTAAACAAAGTCCGTGACTTTTCAAGTGATTTTGTAAGGTAGTTGTAGAGTTTCCTGAGCATTTTATTATTTTGTTACAACGCTGACACTGTTCTTCCAACTGTTTTATAATTGGATTTTTTCCTTTTGTTGCATATATCTAGACTGACATTGCTAATAATATGAATAGAAATTAAGGATATTAAGTAGCCATTTTACCCACCGTTAAAAACTAATTCATAACTAGTAACTATGCATTTAAGTCAATGTAAATAAGAAACTGGTGATAGAAGCCCTATTCATAACTCTAAAGAAACTCTTAAGAAACTTTTAAAAAACTTTTAGTACTAGATTAGTAAAAAAGAACTATTAAAATAGGAAACTCCTTGCCTGTGAGCTTAATTTTTTTTATAAAAAATAATAACTACTGAACTAAAGTTATTTATTAAAGTTATTGAAAAATAAATCAAATTAAATTACCATTCAAATTGCTTTAATAAATGTGTTGTTATATTATCAATAAAGAAACTTTTCTCTTAGCAACTGTTAATTTTTAAAGTATAAATAATTAAACTTTTATCTGAAAGTGTTTGAATAAAAAAATTCGAACATTTTCAGGTTTGAATGAAACTTTATGCAGTTAAAAATCATTATAATATTGAAATTTAATCGTTATGCGAATGCATAAGAAAAGTTTTTAATTTTTGTCGCTTATTTCATTTAAAAACAGCTATTTGCTGTTTTTGTTTTTTTTTTTGTAAAAAAACAGCTGTTTTACTGTTACTGTTAAACAGTGTTCAGAAACACTAAAGACTGTGTCAAGCAATTTTCCACTGTTTACCTTAACTGGATGTGAATTAGCTTTCATTGACAAATTCAAGTATCTGGGTCACGTAATAGAAAATGGTTTGTTTGATAATGCTGACATAAATCGAGAGACGTCTTTATATGCATACAAACATATTATTCAGACGATTCAAGAAATGCTCAATTAAGGTAAAAGTGCAGCTATTTAAGACCGGTTGAGTCGTATTTTATGTATGTAAACTAATTAAGTGAAAAACACAACTCGCATATTGCGTATTAAAAAGTAAATAAAAAGTTCTTTTGCTTTAAAAGTATTTTCGAACAAAAGAGTTTGCATAAATTAATAAAACTTTTTACAACGTTACATTAAAAACATGAAACCTAAAATTTTATCCTTTTTGAATATATTAAAAAGAAAAGATAAAAGTTTTAAATAATAAAAAATTGGATCTTTATTATCAGACATAACAAAACATTTTTCATCTGCTTATAATAATGTTACATAATCATGCAATAATACCTTGTAAAGCGCTTTTTAATTTTAAATACTCTTAGTTTCATTTTCACTTTTTTTATTTACGTAGATATAATACGACTCAACCTTAAAGACCACCTGCCTTTGTTTTCATGATGTGGCTTTATGGACTGATTTTAGTGCAAATACTATGTTAAAGCGAGACCCGTGTTACAAGAAATATGCTAAAATGTTTTTTGGATATGACAATTACCATAAACACTACAAATATGTTTATGGTAATTGGCTTGCCTAATCTAGATACTTTATTTCGTAACTAGAGACTTAGCCTTATAAATCAGGTAGTTACCTGTTCCAGCAGAAATGCAGCTGTGTATAAATTAAACAGAACTTTTAATTAATTACTATTATTTTTTTTATCTTAACTAGGGACCTTGTACTGTACTTGTTGTCTGAATCAAATAAATAAATTAAAAAAAAAATAAAAAAAAATGCATACAAAAAGAATTTTTTTTTAACATTACAGGCTCAAAACTTCATTACTATAAAATTAAGTTGCAAACCTTCTGGAACATTTAAACCAACAACTGGAAATGTTTTATCTTCAACAGAACTCATAAACACTAACAAGTTGCAATGTTTTCCCCATGTATTTTTAACAGCTTTAGCTTTAGAAGCAATTGTTGGAGGTTGTGTCATAACCCAGCAAAGCACTCTGACTTTCTCTGATAAAACATTAGCAACAGCATCTCCACTTTTTTGATGCAAACTATTCATATCATTAACCAAGATTGGTTCATCAAACTTTCCAATAAATTTAGAATGTTCATTTGAAGTATAAAATTCTTTACTAGTCATTTTTTCTGGTGTTAGGCATGCATTTTCAGCATTAAAACTTTTTATTTTTGTATTATTGTCAAAACTCAAATTTATTTCAGAGATAACTACCATAAGTAAAACACCACATGATCCTCCTAGCAAAAAAGACAAATAGAACTCTTGTGGAAATGTTGTCATTTTTTTAGAAAGCTTTTATTATTGAATTTTAACATAATTCCTAAAAATATTTGTTATATAACATCTACACAATTGTAATTTAACATCTGTAACTCTCTATATACATACATACATGCATACATACATACATACATACATACATACATACATACATACATACATACATACATACATACATACATACATACATACATACATACATACATACATACATAAATATATATATATATATATATATATATATATATATATATATATATATATATATATATATATATATATATATATATATATATATATATATATATATATATATATATATATATATATATGTATGTATGTATGTATATATATATATATATGTATGTATATATATATATATATATATATATATATATATATATATATATATATATATATATATATATATATATATATATATATATATATATATATATATGTATATATATATATATATATATGTATGTATATATGTATATATATATATATATATATATATATATATATATATATATATGTATATATGTATGTATGTATATATATATATATATATATATATATATATATATATATATATATATATATGTATATGTATGTATATATATGTATATATGTATATATATATATATATATATATATATATATATATATATATATATATATATATATATATATATATATATATATATATATATATATATATATATATATATATATTTATATATATATATTATATCTATGTGTATAAATAGTAAAAATTTTTATTTAATTTAAATTAAAAAAAAAATCCGAATTTTAGCCACGCCCGTTACCATAACTTCAAACTATAGCCGTACTCTTCGGAACAGCTGGTCGCTCTTATTTTATATTGGTATATTCAAATAAATTTTTAAGTGATTTTTTACTTTTTAACAGTAATTTAACAGTAAATACCTGACGAGCCAACTAAATTCGTGAAAAAACCAACTATAACTTGAAAATCACCTTCTTCAAGAAGGGAAAGGTGGTGTTACGGGAGTGTGGGGATAACCACCCACACCTCCCGTAAAATTGCCTCTGAGCTCAATACAAATAATAAAAGTGATGAATTCAAAACAAAGTTGTCTCAAAAACCAAAGCTCATTGTTTGGTAATGCGCCTAATTAAGAAAATAAATATTTAAACAAATAAGTCTAGTTCTGTAAAGACAGAGCCGTCCCAAAGAGATTTTAAAGGCGGGCAGGGGGTGGTGGCGTATCTATTTTTTGGCGTCTGGCAAAAATAAAAGGCCCTCGTTAGTAGACATTTGCCGACTGCCAACTATAGATCCAATTTTGCCGACTCCATTGTCCAATATGCCGACTAATAAATTTAGTAGGGGGCTAGACCCCCCCCCCTACACTCCCTCCTCGGGACGTCTCTGTGTAAAGGTTGATTTCTAAAATTAAATAACATTATTTAAAAAACTTCTGTTTTGAAATGAGACTATAAAAAAGGACTCATTCTAAAAATAAGAAACGAATGGGACCCTGTAAAAAACTGAGAATAACAGTTTTGGGGATCACCGTAGAAAATCATTTTGATGTACTATTACATAGATCTTTACACTTTCCTGTCAAATTTTTAAAATCATTTGAAGACATGCAAAACAATTCTGACCTATCACACTTATGTTGGTAAAACGTTAGAATAATGTTGCGAGTTGTCGCCAAGGTTGTTTTTATATATTTCGATATAAATGCAATGTCGCCATCAACAAAAAATCAAAGTTGGCACAACGTTGATTCAATTTTGCATTTTTAGCTGGCTAAACGTTGCATTTAATATTTATCGGAATTAATTTTATTATAAATTATAAATTATAAATATGTTTTTCTTTTTCCATTTCTTTTTTTTTTTTTCTTATCTACATATTCTGATTCTTATTTACAGCTTTTGATAAAGAATAGAAAAAAAACATACGTGCATTCTTAGCCAGTTTACTAAGAGTTGGTTTATAATACTTTTTCATATTGTGTCTAACTTTTTCTACTTTCTCTACATTAATAGGCTTGGCGAAATTGGATTAGTTTAGAACACTAGGTTGTTTACATTTTTAATTTCAAAAGCACACCAAAATATATAAAAATAATTTGATCCTTTTAAAGCAGGATCTTCAGGATCAGAAAACTGATAGCGATAATTATGGTTTCCAAACCTATTAAGTTCAAACATACACAGAATAATGATTTTCAGCATTAAACTGGGATATTTCAAGCAGAGAATCAACGGTATCTTTGATAATACTATTCACAGGGGATAAAGTTAGCTTGTCATCACTGCTCAAATCATTAGGAAGCAAAGTGCGTTTAAAGACATCCACATCATTACTTGTTAAACTTCAAATTTAAGAGAAGTCCAAGTCTCAAGCCTCTTAAGAAAAAAGTATATAATTTAAATGTAAACTTTTAAAAGCCATTTTTTAAAATTATAGATATCAATCAATATATTTATGATATATATATATATATATATATATATATATATATATATATATATATATATATATATATACATATATATATATATTTATATATGCCGCATTCAAACATTTAAAGTTATATATGATATACATATATGTCGCATTCAAACATTCAAAGTTATATATGATATACACATATATGCCGCATTCAAACAAAGTTTTTTAAGTTCTATGCTAATGTGTTTTTAAGTTCTATGCTAATGCTAATTACAATATTTTAAAAATTTAAACCATTTATTTAAAGAAAGATCTAAGTTATACATTAAAGAGGTTCTTTCATATACTGATATTGTTGGGACTTTAACTCCTTCCTCCACTTCTCATCACTTCTCTGTTGAAATTTTTTTAAGAATGCTGACTTACCTAATTCTTGTTCAGGCCCGACGAGAGGGGGGGGGCAGAGGGGTATTTCCCCGGGTCCGGGCTCGTAGGGGCCCAGGCCCATCACCATCGGTCTCTTAGTCTATCAGGTCCCAGTCTCCAGGTAATCAGCCAATCCCCATCAAGCAACATTGTGTCTGCATCACTTCATCAGTTAGACAAATAAATAAATTTACTATGTAATATTGATAGGATAAATCTATTCTTTATTAATAATTTAATTTATTTAATGAAAATACGCTTTTGAGAGTAAAAACGGAGACTAATAGCCTCTAAAACCTAAAAAATAAATATAGGACACCAGCCCGCAGGTTTTTCGTAAGTTCCTTGCTCATGCCATGCTTTATAATATATATAATAGGCCTATATATATATATATATATATAATATAAATATATAATATAATATAATATATATAATAGGCCTATATATATATATATATATATATATATATATATATATATATATATATATATATATATATATATATATATATATATATATATATATATATATATATATATATATATATATATAATATAATTTAATATATAAAGTTATATATATATATATATATATATATATATACATATATCTATTTTATTTATACAGTATATACTGTACTGTACATTAAACTGAACTTCTATTTTAACTTTTAACAATTATTAATTGTCATTTATTTTAATTTGTCAATTTACTTATTAACTTAACTAATAAATTTTTGTTCTATTGTTACAGGACCTCGCATAGGCAGCCTACTACATGCAGCTATGGATAATTACCAGCATAAATCTGGTGCTCAAAAAAGAAACGAAAAGATTGCTCGAGAAAAATTAGCTAGGAAGGGTCAAAGTACGATTGAGTCTTTCGGATTTATAAATTGTAATCGTATTGATGGTGTTTCTGAGGATCAGATGAGCAAGATAAAGTCACAACTCTCAAATGTTGAAGTAGAGCCAGTGCCAATTGAGGAAGATGAATTGTTAAATAGGAAAGTTATGAGTGCTGATGTGAAAGAGAATGTAATAGACGAAAATGAAAATATTCTTCCAAAGACATCAACTGCAAGTCTAGAAGAATTACAAGACAAGGCAGATGATGTCCAACTAGTTCCATCAAATAACTATGATATTGGTTTAATTAAGGAATTATTTTGCGCTGCTGAACAAATAGAAAAATTTGTTCATCATGGACCCATTGCTCACCCAACAAAATTTCCAAAAAAAGCATTGCCTAAATCATTTCCGCGCACGTTATTTCACATTGCCATGCCAATCTTGTTTTGCAAGCACGGAATGCTACATTGGATGTAGAAGTGACCAACGTTAAACGACTAATTGATGAATTGAAAACTCTTCGAGATAAATGGGATTCTATTATGGTGGAGAGTAAATTAGTTGCAAACACCTTAAACATTTCTCAAGAACTTTCAGAACCTAGACGAAATTTGGAAGCGATTTGCTGATGAGACACCTGATGAAATTTCTCTATCAAATTCTGAAAATAATTTTAAACAAAACGTTTTTTATATATTATTGGACTACATTATAGGGAATATCAGTAGACGATATGAAGCTGCATATAAAATTGACAAAACTTTTAACTTTCTCTGGAAGTATAATCATTACGAAGAGGAAGAAATTCGCCGAAGGAGTAAGGATTTTGTGAATAAATACAAGGATGATGTTTCCATGGAGCTGATTGATGAGCTTTTGCATTTGAAATTTATCCATGATGTTAACATCAAAAATGATTTGGACCCCTTTCTTCTTCTCAATAAAATCAACGGCCTGAAACTTATATGTCTTTTCCCCAACATTTGTATTGGCCTGAGAATTTTTTGTACATTACCAGTTACGGTAGCACAAGCTGAACGGTCTTTTAGCAGACTGGCGCTTATAAAAAATGATCTAAGATCAACAATGACGCAAGGTAGAGTTTCTGGCTTGGGAATTTTAGCGATGAAGTGTGATTTAGCAAAAAAGATCAATTTTGACAGTGTAATTGCTGATTTTGCCAGTAGGAAAGCGAGGAAAGTTTTAATCTAACTTACAGGTTTTATATATTTTAATTTTGTTGTAGTTAAATTATATATAATTTTTCACTGTATTGTATTTAAAATATACTTGTAAATAAA